AGGAAGCACGATAAGGAATAATTGGTTTCTGATAGATGTAGATAGGAAGTGAATATTTTGTCTACTCGATAAAATGATTATAAATTTTATTCCAGATTTTTAATGTGTAAAATTTGATTTTACAAGTGGAATTTTCATATAGATTAAAAATTTATCTAGGAGCCGTCCATTAATTACGTATAGTTTTTGATCCACTTTTGACCCTTCCTCTCCCTGTTGTGTACAATGATGTACTGTATTTCCTCCCCTTTTATTCTAAGCTATTGATTATTCTGTTCCTTTAAAATTCTTATTTTATAATTAGCTATAAATTAATGTTAATGCCAATTAATATTAGACTGTCATTTAATCAAACTAAATCAATAGCCACATTCTATTTCAGATAGTTCTTATAATACTTCATTTTGTATTTCAGGTTGCATAAGCATTTATACAGCCTTGTGTGTGTGTGTGTGTGTGTGTGTGTTATGCAGGTTGCATTGCCTTGCATGTATTGTACGCTTATGCCCTAGCTCAATTTCTTTTGAGACATTATAAAGATACGAATATAGAACGAAAATATTAGTAATGAACATTAAGATGAGGCCCCTAAGAGAGTAAGATTCCGGCCATGGATAGGTATGTCTATACATTAATAAGGGCATGTATATTTAATGTAGTGGCTTATAACAAAACGAAACAATCAAAAATTTCGTATTAGTTGTTCATAAGTTAGTTTAGTTAAAGAAGGCTCTCATTTTGTACAATTTGGCTCATTGTAAAGAGAATGGCTCATTTCTATTGACAAGGATTAGAGAAAAAGAGTTACAAGGATTCATGTAAGGTTTAATGGGCCACACTATACATTCTGGTTAGTACTGGATTCCTATTATTAGATCGAATGTCGATATGTTTGTGCCAGTCTGAGGCCTTTATAAAAGGCTTCGGTCTTATAAAGAAAGTCTAGGTTGTTTATTCGATATCTTAAGAACTCTTGTATTTTATAGCTTATATTAGCGATTTATTTAAAAATTTTAATTATTTATTAGATTTTTCCGCTTAAAACCGAGTGAAGTTTTATCGTCTGTGTATACAGAATAATTTCCTTTACCATCCGCTCGACTAAAACTATTCTCTATGAATTTGTACAGCCGTATCCGGATAAATACGGATTTTACAAGATATTTCCAGAAAAATTTTTTACTTATTTATTTACATATTTATATTGTTTTCTAATTTAGAAAATTTCGACAAATTTTTATTTAAATCTTAAAATTAATATAGGCTATACAGTAATTTAATTTAAAAATATACTCCTATCACCTAAATTGCAGTTATAGATTGTGAGAAGCCCCTAACGAATGTAGATTTGCGAGACCCCTTTTATATATTAATAAGTTGCGAGGCCTTATATATATATATATACAATATGAAGCCCTATTGTATGACACTTGATATTATACAGGGTCTAGGTTACTAACTAGTACTGGAAAGAATATCGAGTGATATAATCGCGAGGCCCTAAACCACAGGTGAAAACTTATAATTTCGGGTCATATGCGACTTTCTGCAGTATTTAGTAAGGGCTATTTAAATATAAAAAGTTTTAATAAATATTTTTAAACCTGTTTTCCTTCAATTTTCTTATTAATTAATGAATTAAATTATAAATTGTCTAGCTGCCCCCCCCCCATGTTAAGACCTCAGTGTGAACGAACAGATATTTTATTGTAACACGTCTTAATCAGACATCAAAATTAAACACATTCAATACTAAACAATTACTTTAAGCATTTATTTTAAACAATAATTATAATAGAAACTGAATTACTATGTCAGAGAGAGAGGGAGTAAGAAAGATAAGAGTTTAAAACATCTACTTCTAGTAAAAATGTTTGGCATATCTTTATAGATTATATATGTAGATGCACAGTTCCGGCCCTCATGTGTCTACAACAGCTGATTCAACAGACAATATGCGGGAATAAGGCTCCACCGTCATAATATCTATATAGCAGAAAAATCCAGTAAAGCCACTACACGTTTTGCTATTCCCATTCTATCCAATAGAAAACATTATTCGCATTTTACGTCAAAAAGCCAAACTGCTGTGTCAATAAAACACTACTTATAAGCCTGATAGGTTACCTGCAACCCGTATCGTTACCTTCATATTTTTGGAAAATCATTTAAGGTGAGTAGATAAGTTAATTCATTTTTTTTAATAAATATATAAAGCTTTCTTCATTATAATTTTTTTTTTTTTTATCATAAATATAACTTTTATTCCGGATACATAGTTAAGTTTAGTTTCCTGTTTCAGTTCGACAGCGCCGAAATCCGCTTCACAGAACGAAAAATCCTATGGAAATACAAGTGCAATAGATCTCTTTTATAGATAATTCTATATTTAAGACCTTATAAACTCATCAAATTAAGTTAGGACAGAAATTTATATAATGTATATTGTAAGTTTCTAGTGTAAATTATTATAATTTCCCTCGAAATTTTATAGCGGATGATAATTTAATTCCGAATGTTTTATTATTATTTTAGGTTGAAGATGACTATGTAGGTGAACATGACAATCTGGATGCTAAGTAGTAGTGCCGCAGGTAATATTTTCATACTTACTTGCACACGACTGCTTAATATTTAGTTTGTCGCATCATCTAAACATAGAAGAAACCGTTAGAAGATTTAGAATTTATCAATTTGATCCAGTTGTATGGTCTTCTTATCTCTCTATTTCGGGCTAAGAATATAAAAGTAACTGATAACAAGTCGTAGAACGGAAGAATTTCACAAAAAATTTCTATTAAGCATGCTGTATGGAGTCTATATTTAGACTTATATAATATATACCTAATAAACTGTTCTCCTCTACTGAATAATAGATCTTAAGCCGCTAGCCTCATGGTTTAAAGTTATATCTCTAAGCGAAAATATAGGGCCTATAAGAAGTCCTTCCTCCTTATCAATTAAAAACATACTGTATAAATATTTAATTTATGTATAAATCCGTACTACTCGTAGCACGAGGCCCTAAGTTACAGCCTTGTAAACATAGCCGGATGTGACTAGTGGCTCTAAACTGTAATATATAGGCTATATAGCCTATATATAACTTAAGCAAGTTATAGTTTATGTATAAATATGCCTCTATTTGTGGTACGAGGCCCTAATTTGTAACTAAAACCAGAGCCTAGTTGTAAATCTAAGCTGTCACTTATAAGGGGCCTTTCTTTCTCCACAAAATCAATAATAAATTTAAAGTGTTATATGTAAATAATCGGTCCCGAAATGCCTAATAAATGAAATATTTAGAAACAATTCATGTTATTTTTTTTTCTTCTATAAATTTGAACTGGATTTACTTATAATTCGCCGGAAATAGTGGAATATTCTACATCCTTTCTCATTACAGGCGTGTAGAGAGATAGGTGGTGGAGTGTTAGGCCATCTGCAACATATGTAGGCCTACATCTGGAGGGGCGTAACATCTCTCGTATGATAAAATCCCAACAGTTATTGTTTTCTAGTAAAAACAATTTCAATTTTGAATATTTAAATATTTATCTGAGTTAAATTAAATTGGAAGGTGGAAAAATTTATATATTTATTTAAAAAAATAAATTAATTTGTTTAAATTCCCAAAATAATTTATATTTGTACAATTTTTCCCCGCCATATTCGAAACTGAAAACGTCATTTCAATACTGACGTCATTTATGTAAAAAAAAAGTTGTAGCGCCATCTGACGGAAAAAATACACATAATAAAAATATTACGTTAAATAATTTTTTAATATTTCTAAAAAGTTTAATTGTTTCTTATTAAATTTTATAATTATTAATTAAAATTAAATCATTTTTATAATAATGTTGTAAAACGAAACTATTAAAAAAAATTATTTATATTTTAATAGTTGGCATTTTATTAATTTTCACTACCAGGTGGAGGAACAATCGCGATTTTTTTTTTTTTGTTTTAATTCGAAATTTTGCATTTATTAATAATTAAAATTTTAAATATCGACAAATTATAAACTTATATTAATGATGCATTTGAAATTATAAAAAATAGTATATAACGTTTTATAAAATATATTTTCGTTTTATCATCTGTTATTGGATGTTATATATTTAGCTTATTTAGGAATAATTTATTAGAAATTCCTTTATAAAAATATTATATTCACCGGATAGTAATCATATAAAATATTTCTGAATTAAAAATGTTTTGCATGGCAGAGTGTAACTTAAAAAAAAAAATTCATATTAATACAACAACTGACGTCACTTCCGCTTATAAAACCAAACTATGTTCTATTTATAATTCTTAATCAGACAAGTTAATTTACGGAAATTAACTGAAGCGATAATTTTTAATTCTGTTTGAATGTGCCGGTTATTAAGAATAATCTACTTCTATGTTATTTGCCGTTAGACATAATGTTATCGGATCAAATTTATTGCTTGTTACAAGTGTAGGGGAGGGGCCATTTACCTTTACGAGGCCCCCCAGTACAAAGAGTTTTAAAAATTCATACAATTTTTTAAATAATAAAATTTGAGAGAAAAATGATTTTTTTTTTATACACAAGAAACACAACAGAATAGATAATTTATGAACATTTTACATTTACAAAATCTCTTGGCTAAATGTCCTTAGAAAAGTAATTAATGGGGCCTTATAAATATATTATACTCGACAAATTTATATTGCAATAATTCCAGAAGTAAATTTTCCTATAAGCAGACAAGCCTTTCAGTATTCCGGGCCCGAAAAGGGCTTGAAACTCCGACAAGCGAAAGGCCCCACAAATTGTTCCATAAATTTATAGTCCCAAAATATTATCGCTATAGGGCCCTTCGCTATTGAATCTGTAAATTTTTCACTGAAATAACTTACTGTATATATAGGTGGTAGGCGTTATAAATTATTCAGTGTCTTTATGCAAACTATAAAACATAAAAGTATGTTAATAAATTATATTTGAAATTTCTTATTAATCTGGGTTTTGATACTATTTTGGATGAGCAGGGCCGTCGAAAGTGATCATCGGCTCTCTATATCTTCTAACGGATTTTATTATACAAAGTCCGATTCAGACCTCCTCCATCTGATCCTAATACTCAGCCCCATGGATGAGTAATAACATCAAAAATACCATGGAATAGTAGCATAAAAAAATTTCTACAGACAAATAAAGTAAATACAGTATTGTTAATAGGAAGACTGTTTTCTAATTAGAAATAGCTGCAAACTTTGGATTTATACTCGCGATATTATTACAAGATACCCTTTTGTACCACCGAATAATGAATTTAAAAACGTGAGATTTCACACTAGCAAGCGATCCTAAGCTGTAGGATGTCACTTTTATGTGTAAATCCGGCTCTATCCAGAGATTGTTTAGCTGTATGATATCTAGCTTATGTGTAAATCCTAATCCTGCTGAGTAAATCATATCTAGGAAATGAAAATTCGTGATTGCAATGGTTTAAGGAGTTAATATCAGTTTCTCATCATAAATTAACAATCTAGGAATCATCAGAACAGTAGATAGGTGTTAGAATTTGTCTTAAACAGTTCTATCTTCTACCGATTACCATAAACAATACAGTAAATATTAAATAGCTGTTATCCAATGGAATGTTAGAATAGATTTTAAAACTCAGCATTTTATTCCTATTGGTTTCATTTTTTTTAAGTGTGCAAATATGAAGCTCAACTGTTTTCAAATAAAAATAATATTGTGTTTTCGAATTCGTCGTATCCTCATCAGGACAGCAATTTTCTCATTGTCTGGGTGTCAAGTGTACCCATGTACTGTCCAGACCGTGGGTGGCAAAGTATAATTAGTCCGTTCGCTTACCCAACCAATGGAATGACTGATTGAATTAAATGCAATAATTTGTTCGTGTTGACGACAATTTAAACGAGCTTAACTCTCAGATGAAGATTAGTACATCCTGTCTCTCTTTGTTGCTGCTCTGCGCGGTAAGTATCCTCCTCATTTTTTTCTATATAATTTAAAAAAAAATTCTGAATATATCTATTATTATTTTCTTATTCTAAAACACTATAAATCACATAAGAATTTATAATATTTTGCAATAATTCTGAAGAACTTGTATTTATCATCCTTTTTAGTTAGCCATTTCCTGTTAGTTTAGTAGTGTGTATGACATTATCCAGAAATGTAGTTCGCGATCCACTGGTTAAAAAAAAAAAAAACACTTGAATATCTGATAACATCCTTAAATAATCTAGAAAGCAAATATTTTAATTATTATTATTTTTTAAAATTGCAATTAAGTATAAAATTATGCTTAGTAGAATATTTACTTATAAATCTAAATGCTAAGATCATCAGATATTTTGCTAAAAGTAAAGATGCAAACTATCATTTTCTTTTTATATTACCATAACTACAGCTCTAACTTACTGTATAACTGATTCGAATAATAACTGCAACTATACAGCTGCAGTCACAGATCTATAACTGCAACTGTACGGATGCAGTTATCATCATCATGGAAATTTTATGTACAGAATGGATATTAGCTTCACTTACATGGGTTGTAGTTATCATTTATCCGCATCCATCAAGTTGTAGCTATCATAATCGAGTTGTCATCTTTACATATACTTTTTCGCATGTAGTCACTTTATAGAATTATCTTTTGTATTGAATAGTCTCTAAAAAAAAAAAAATTCGAATTACTATGAAATTTTATACAAAAGATGGATTTTATTAATGTAAACAGCCACAATAATTTTTTTTTAATTAATAAGTTGTGTTATAGTAAGATAAAGGGTAGTGAATGAGACTGTTGAGTCCTTATCAGCATTATAGACAACAGATCTCTTCACAGTAAATGCTTGTAAGAACATTTAAAATACAGTATAACCATAAAATCATAAAACAAAAAACAAAAAAACTAAGGAAATTAATTAAGAAATTTTGAATTTATGAGATGAAATTTCCTCAGCATCCATTCTTCATTTTATTAATTAATTACACTTAATAATTTATGTCTCCTTTTTAACTTTACAGATTATAAAATGCTAATATATTGTGATTTTTTTTTTTACAGATTTAAGAGGAATAGTGCCATTCTTTCCTAAGTACTAGCGCCGTAGGAGATCTTTAAAACACTCCTGCAGCCTTGGTGCTTACCATAGAATGTCACGTGACTGGCTTCCCGTGTTATCGGAGGATCGCCGCCCGATAATGAAACAACAGAGCATAGATTTAAAAAAAATTAATAATAATAAATGCCAAGAATTTAATCGTAATTATAATTTTTTACATTAGAATTTAACTAGGTTGATTTATATCCATTTTTAAATGTACATAAATGTTAATTTCATACTTATTTAATTGTTTTCGCATTGTTCCTTTATTGTTATTAAAATTTATAATATAAAACTTTAATTATTAGTTTTATTATTATTTTTTAATAGTTAATTTACAAATAAAATGCTTGAAATTTACTAATATCTGCGCTTAGTGGCGTATTAGTGATAACATTATCGATTTTTTTTTCAATACTTTGCAGCATGTTGGCTTCACCTCAATATTCCTAAGCGTTAGTGGATATTTGCAACAGATTTTCTTAACTAATTAAAACATTTTTCCTAGAAAATATTCGAAACTTCAGAAAAAAAAAAGAACAAAAATGTCTGAAGAAGAGAACGTAGAAACAGTTCTGCACCAAGCTTTATTGTTATTGCTAGATAATAAACCTAAAGATCCCATATCATTCCTGGCTAATCACTTTCAAAGAGAATGTGAGAAGAGCAATCGTGTCTCTCAAGCTGCTCAATTTTTAGAAAATTCTAACTCCAATCATCCTTCAATAGAAGAGAAGCTGTGTAGAGCCTATCATACTATAAGCCAATATAAAATACAGCAAGAACTTAGAGGATTAACTGGAGATATCTATACAGATCTCTTGGTACAGCTTCTTACTGGATTACCGGAACGGCAGACTGAAGTTATACTACAAAAATTACAATGTTCGTATACCGAATATGTGCCTTTTGGTATTTTTCATACCGGCGTTCTTTTCTGTTTACAACTGAAGGAATATGTTCAAATTGCGAGATCCCTGTTTCAAGATCTAGATGAGAAACACTGCGGACAAGTTAGTCGTACTCTTTGTAAAACTGTTCTGGATGAGATTAATCAAGCACTTAAAATCACTAATGAAAATCCTAAAAAAGTGTTTGAAATTGCTCAGAAATTATCTACTAATCATCTTGCAGATAAATTGATATGTGCTGTTGTAAGTATTGATGAAGATGATGATGATATGATGAAACAAGATGAATTTTTAAATGAAGCAGTTAATGTCTTCTTGCAGATGATACCAAAAGTGAAATGAAATTTAGTTTTTTTTTTAAAGTTTATTTTGGATTTTTAATCCTGTGTTAGTCATTTGACTTAGTATTAATTTTACTATAAAATTTTATTTATTTATAATTTTAATTGTAAAATTTCAAAATTATTTGTAAATATATTTATTAAATATATTGTTTAATTGTTAAGCATTTTAAATTATTTCATTTTTAGGGGGAAAAATTACAATATATCTCATAAGGGAATTTAATTGTTAACCGGTTAATAACATTACATTAATGTTATTAACTGTTACATGCATTAGTAAAAGTTAATTAAGTAAAGAATTAATTAGGTGTAAGAAACTTACATGCTTGTATAGATACATGAATTATTTCTTTATTTTAACAAGAAATTTCTATATTGGTATTATTTTACATTTCTATAGTCCATCCCTTATTTAACTACTATATACTTTGTGTTGTCTTAGTGCCCTAAAAGTTGGGTCTCAAGCCCTATTAGATCTTATCTGCCACTGATTTTCAGTGACAAATAAGCAGAAAAAAGTTTAGTGATAACATGTAATAACTTGGCAATCAATCAATCCATATTTAAGGAATCCTTTGATAATGATCAATATAAGTAGACATCGATAAATTATTTCAAGATGGGCAAGATTTTAAAGTGCCGTCCTTGTGTCATCCATACTCACATCTAATTGTTATTTTATCACTGTTGAGAAATCGTTGAATGATAATGGCAGCTAACCTTATACTCACTATAAGCTTTGATACTAGAGCAACTAATTTCAAGACTTTTGATGTTATCTTTCTTTCAACAATGCTGAAAGAAACTAGGGGAGAGGAATCACTTTCTTTTCCCTAGTTATGCATAGAAATTATTATATAGTTAACCTACATGTATATATTAACAACTGTAATTGTATCATTTCAAAGTTTTGTTATGTTACCTTGTCTTATTTATGTGTTAATCCTTATTAATCTTTTAATTTATAAATTTGAATTATCCACAAAATATTCTAATTTGAAATCATTTTTCTATAATTTGAACCCAAGTTGGCTGATAAATATAGCTTAAAAATATTTATTTAATTATAGTTAATGACAAGTTAAAGGTTTTAGTTTATTCTACAAAGAATAAAATATATAGATAAAAAGTAATCTTTATTTATAATATTTTTTATAATTTCAATTTTTATAATGGGAATATTATTGCCGATACTTTTACTTTCCTGGCTGTTATATATATAACAGAAGGAAAGTATTGTAATTGGTCAAAAAATGATCCCCCAAGATTTTTATATTTTTGGACTTAGGACACCTTGAAACATTGAGAAATGCTTCTGTAGATAAAGATGTTAGTGTGTGTGTGTGTGTGTTGGGCACAATTTTGTTCACCCTCTTTGAAGCTTAATAACTCCTGTGCTTTTTGTTAAAAATTTCTGAAATTTTGCAGGAAGGTTTGTGCATTAGGGGATCGATGCTATTAAATTTTGGTGAATTAAAGGTTGAGGGGGATGGGGAGATAAGGTTGTGTGTATCTCCAATATGGTCAGACTTAATGACAATTTAGCATTTACAGTTTTCATAAAACCCATCTCTACCCTCAAAATTAAGCTTTTTGCCATTTTATAATAGTTAAAAATATTAAAAGTTTTTGAATAAAATATCATAACAGATAGTGCCACCAAATGTTGCCGGAAAAGTTAAGCAACTTGCTGATGGATTTTTTTATTCTGTTAGATAAGATAAATGTTGCAAATATAATCAGGTTTTTAATTTATAATTAAATGTACAATAATTGTATCTAATTTAATATGCTTAATGCATAATTTTTTTATTTCCATAAATCAAAAAAATTAAGAATTTATGCATCTTTGCTGTTTATTACTAATACTAAATAATTAAAAATGAAGAAGGATTATGAAAGTTGTGTGAATTGTAAGTTTTGTAACACATTTTTGTTTCTAATTAAGAAAATAAAAGTAAAAGAACTAACTTTTAAAGGCAAAGACCAAACCTCTTAGTGCTTCTGAGTGGAAAGAGATTCGTACATGTTACCTCTGATAAAATAATAGTCTTTTAATATTATTATTATTATTATGTTATGATCGTAAATTATTTTACTAAATTGTTTCAATAAAAAAATAATAATTCCTTTATTGTTGGGATCATCAACTATACTATATATTAAATAATTCTTTAAATTCCATAATCCTGTGTTTGCAGGAGTAAAAGAACTCCTTCAGTGTTTCAATGATCCAAAACACAGAATTTTGGCTTCGTGTTACACCTTAAAGAATAATGCTTTTATTAAGCCAGCCTAAAACATTTATTTAATGTATCGGTGGTTAAAATATTCCATGCCATATTTACATATTTTTGTATTTAAGGATATGGTTGATCCAATACAAATTACTAATGATGGGCTGTAAAATGCATGTAATAAAGTATGAAATAAACCAGAGTAAATAGTTATAATTCTGTGTTTTGGATCATTAAATCACCAAAAGAGTTCTTTACAGATTACAGAATTTAAAGAATTATTTAATTAAGAAAAAAAAATAATTTGTTGAAAAATAAATGAGATGTAATACTCTAACTACTTTAAAATTGCATAAATTAATTTTTAGATAAATCTAAAATTCTAAAACTAAAAAAAAAATAAAATCATTATTTTGTTGTTTTTTATTTATAAAAAAAAGGAATATAGCAAAACTGCAAAGAAAACTCATGAAATAAAAATATTATCCATAGAATAAATGTGAGAAATGACATCTAAACTAACCATCAGTATTTTACTATGTATATTTCTACATAATTTTTCATCAAATAATAAAATTCACATGTAAAAAAATTCCTCTATCTTGTTAATTGACCAGTATGTGCTATAGAAAAAAGATATTTGTACAAATATCCAATATAGAAAAAGAAAAGGAAAATTCATTAAACTGAAATTATCTTTACAGTTTAATGCATTTTCCTTTTAGGGGCTGTCCATAAATTACACCTGCATTTTTCTTGAAAGTGATAATTCCTCCCATTGTCCAGTCTATGTAACCCCGTTCCCTCTTAGGATGTCCAACAAAACCCAAAATCTTTATACATTTTATTATTCATAAAGTGATAAACTGTGTAAAATTTAATGAAATAAAACAGACATTCATTGAAATTCAACCCTTCCCTTCCCTTTGTCCAACTTGACATAACCCTCTCTCTCTTCCAGTACAAGACATCATTTATGGACAGCCTCTTACTAGAAATTGTTGATGGATTTTCATTTTCTATTTTGTTTTTTGCTTATAATTTAATTTAATTTTTATTGGCAGTTTCACATCTAAAAACAATCTTGAAAATAAATTTTAATAGATAAATTTTATGTAAATATTTTTTAACTCAATGAAAAATTAAAACTCTTATGAATAATTGTAATCATAGCCAAAATTGACAACTGTTACAATTATTTTTAATATATATTTTTTTAAATCATAAATGCTGCTTTTATTTATAACATTATGATATTCCCAAAATCAGTCTTTACCCTCAAAATGATATAAATAAGTAATGTGCCATAGGCAATTGTACAGAGAAGTTCATAGACAAAGCATTAAGGGCAAGTGTATAGNATTTCTATATTGGTATTATTTTACATTTCTATAGTCCATCCCTTATTTAACTACTATATACTTTGTGTTGTCTTAGTGCCCTAAAAGTTGGGTCTCAAGCCCTATTAGATCTTATCTGCCACTGATTTTCAGTGACAAATAAGCAGAAAAAAGTTTAGTGATAACATGTAATAACTTGGCAATCAATCAATCCATATTTAAGGAATCCTTTGATAATGATCAATATAAGTAGACATCGATAAATTATTTCAAGATGGGCAAGATTTTAAAGTGCCGTCCTTGTGTCATCCATACTCACATCTAATTGTTATTTTATCACTGTTGAGAAATCGTTGAATGATAATGGCAGCTAACCTTATACTCACTATAAGCTTTGATACTAGAGCAACTAATTTCAAGACTTTTGATGTTATCTTTCTTTCAACAATGCTGAAAGAAACTAGGGGAGAGGAATCACTTTCTTTTCCCTAGTTATGCATAGAAATTATTATATAGTTAACCTACATGTATATATTAACAACTGTAATTGTATCATTTCAAAGTTTTGTTATGTTACCTTGTCTTATTTATGTGTTAATCCTTATTAATCTTTTAATTTATAAATTTGAATTATCCACAAAATATTCTAATTTGAAATCATTTTTCTATAATTTGAACCCAAGTTGGCTGATAAATATAGCTTAAAAATATTTATTTAATTATAGTTAATGACAAAGTTAAAGGTTTTAGTTTATTCTACAAAGAATAAAATATATAGATAAAAAGTAATCTTTATTTATAATATTTTTTATAATTTCAATTTTTATAATGGGAATATTATTGCCGATACTTTTACTTTCCTGGCTGTTATATATATAACAGAAGGAAAGTATTGTAATTGGTCAAAAAATGATCCCCCAAGATTTTTATATTTTTGGACTTAGGACACCTTGAAACATTGAGAAATGCTTCTGTAGATAAAGATGTTAGTGTGTGTGTGTGTGTGTTGGGCACAATTTTGTTCACCCTCTTTGAAGCTTAATAACTCCTGTGCTTTTTGTTAAAAATTTCTGAAATTTTGCAGGAAGGTTTGTGCATTAGGGGATCGATGCTATTAAATTTTGGTGAATTAAAGGTTGAGGGGGATGGGGAGATAAGGTTGTGTGTATCTCCAATATGGTCAGACTTAATGACAATTTAGCATTTACAGTTTTTCATAAACCCATCTCTACCCTCAAAATTAAGCTTTTTGCCATTTTATAATAGTTAAAAATATAAAAAGTTTTTAAATAAAATATCATAACAGATAGTGCCACCAAATGTTGCCGGAAAAGTTAAGCAACTTTCTGCTGGATTTTTTATTGTGTTAGATAAGATAAATGTTGCAAATATAATCAGGCTTTTAATTTATAATTAAATGTACAATAATTGTATCTAATTTAATATGCTTAATGCATAATTTTTTTATTTCCATAAATCAAAAAAATTAAGAATTTATGCATCTTTGCTGTTTATTACTAATACTAAATAATTAAAAATGAAGAAGGATTATGAAAGTTGTGTGAATTGTAAGTTTTGTAACACATTTTTGTTTCTAATTAAGAAAATAAAAGTAAAAGAACTAACTTTTAAAGGCAAAGACCAAACCTCTTAGTGCTTCTGAGTGGAAAGAGATTCGTACATGTTACCTCTGATAAAATAATAGTCTTTTAATATTATTATTATTATTATGTTATGATCGTAAATTATTTTACTAAATTGTTTCAATAAAAAAATAATAATTCCTTTATTGTTGGGATCATCAACTATACTATATATTAAATAATTCTTTAAATTCCATAATCCTGTGTTTGCAGGAGTAAAAGAACTCTTTCAGTGTTTCAATGATCCGAAACACAGAATTTTGGCTTCGTGTTACACCTTAAAGAATAATGCTTTTATTAAGCCAGCCTAAAACATTTATTTAATGTATCGGTGGTTAAAATATTCCATGTCATATTTATATATTTTTGTATTTAAGGATATGGTTGATCCAATACAAATTACTAATGAGGGGCTGTAAAATGCATGTAATAATGTATGAAATAAACCAGAGTAAATAGTTATAATTCTATGTTTTGGATCATTAAATCACCAAAAGAGTTCCTTACAGATTACAGAATTTAGAGAATTATTTAATTAAGAAAAAAAATAATTTGTTGAAAAATAAATGAGATGTAATACTCTAACTACTTTAAAATTGCATAAATTAATTTTTAGATAAATCTAAAATTCTAAAACTAAAAAAAAAATAAAATCATTATTTTGTTGTTTTTTATTTATAAAAAAAAGGAATATAGCAAAACTGCAAAGAAAACTCATGAAATAAAAATATTATCCATAGAATAAATGTGAGAAATGACATCTAAACTAACCATCAGTATTTTACTATGTATATTTCTACAT